TACCAGATCTTCACGTATCTTCTGAATTCTTTATCAACCCTTGAACCCCTGGCTTTAGGGTTAGAAGCTTACGTTCACAACCCCCAAGGTACACGGAGAGCAGGTCCAATTCGAACAACACACTGCATATATTCAAATTCAAAAATTAATCCCTCCAATATAGAAATAAAACTGTCAATCACTTCCTTCTCCTAAGTCCTGTTATAAATGAAAACGTTGAACATTGAATATAATATCTACAAGCACGCGTCTCATGCAATGTCTCATGGTCTCATGCAATGTAACCCATTGACAAGGACCCTCATACACAAAACGAACCCCTTGGCCATACCAATAAAAAGGGTGCAGCCATCAAATCGCCTCCCCTAACTTGGAGGCACCATTCAATGTGCTGATATATATGAATTTTTTGCCAGGACACACAAATGACCTCTGGGCCTGTTTGTTTCTGTTAGATTTCTCTAAATGGCAAACCATTTTGGGATGAGGCTAAATGCAACGTTCTCTATTGACAGCTTAACTTCCAGAGAAGATGTTTAACCATGGACATCACTTAGTTTTTTTTTTTTTTTTGGATCAATAGTCAAAGTTGTCCGGACTAATTTATGCACACCTCGATTAATCTCCTCTTAAGTCTGGTTAAAGACAAGTCATTCTCCTTAGAACTAAGTTATGCACGACAAATTCCTCATGGTATGGCTTTAAGCAATTGTCAAGATTTAAACTCATGATATCTTAGTTTACAGCTCGTCCCTATTTCTTTTGAGCTATCTTAGGGTTGGACCAGAAAGAGATGGAAATATTGTATGCCATTGTTTTGCTGGAACCGACAATGCTACTAAAAGTTTGAATATTCCAGTAACAAAATTATCCTCGCTTATGGAAACTACCATTATCTCGTAAAACTATTTTCTTGGAACTCACATGGCTTGATTCAGTGGCTGAACAAGACGCAAGATGCAAGTGCAGATGTCTAAGTTTAAGTTCTATTAATTATCCTAAAGATCTTAGTTCTTCCAATGTAAATCATTTGTGAGTGATTGCGTGTGTCTATGGCTAACGTTGCAATTATGAGTCCAAAGAATACATAGTTGAAACCATTTTTTGTTACCACCCAAAAAAAAAAATGTTTTCCTTACATATTTTTACACCACATATTGCATAATGTTGGTGGCTTTTACCAGCCAAACCATCTTATAGTTGTTAATTACCATACTGTTTTTTTAAGAACAGTTGTCGTTATTGTTTGTCACAACATGCATGTTGACAAAAATTGGAAACCAAGAGGGAAAATTCCAAAGTAATCACTAACAAACCATTACCCCTGCTTCAAACTAGTTTTCAACTCATTCCAAGTTACCTTTTTTTTTTTCAACATTCAGAGGTATTTTAGTCAACTTACGCGTACTTCGACTAATAATCTCTTTAGTCTGGTTAAAGACAGACCATTCACACCCACACTAGGGTATTCGCGAGGAATTATCCCTCATGGCCTGATATCAAAGAGTTGTCAAATTGCTGACTTTTATTACTAATGAAAATCAACTAGGAATTAGAAACTATAATATCCTGACCTTTCTCAAACATGCATGCATACATAAATACATATGCGCACATACATACATACATACATGTGTGTGTGTGCGCGCATCAAATTGTTTGGGCAACCTTTATAATAATATTATGGGTAATTTGTGCCTAAAGACAGAGTACAACGTAACTGAGAAGTGATAAATTTTTTGAAAGATGTGAGCAAATTTAATGTGAATGGTTTTAAAAAGGATGTTGGTAGCCGTTGAATGAGTTTATTTGAGACCGTCAAATAGGTTTATTGAAATCTGTCTTGTTTTATATTATAGATTATAGATATATATGGATTTCAGTAAACACAGTGATTTTAGCACTGTAGTTGTGTAAGCAACAGTTGCATTTCCAAGAGAAGGCTGTAGAGGAGGGTTGCCAGTGAGTGCACATAAACCTTATTGCTTAGATTATGCTTCTTTCTTTTAAAGCAGATCCTTCTTTAATGACCGAGTACCATTATAAGGCACTATTTAGACGTGTGGCTATTATCGGAAATCTTAACCATGTGCATTGGGTTAATATCAGAAGTCAAGACTGTCTCTTCAAGACTCGAATTTGAAATCTTGAGGCATTCATCACTGAAATCTCGCAAATGCTAACTCAAAAACCAACCCAAATGCAATTGGTGACTAATGTTCAGTACCCTAATCACCATTGTTTATAAATTTTAGAACATTCAGATTTTAGGGCTTCTAGGCTCAAGGACAATATGTACAAACTGGAAAGATACAAAGTACTAAAGACAAAGTGGTGAGGTGGGGCCAAAAGAAGTCCACCAGCGTTGAAAAACACTTGTTTCCGTAAGTTTTAATGGTTTAGAGCTGGCCATGAGATGATACAAATTGTTCATTATATTCTGGCCAACATAGTAGTTGGGAGCTTGGCCAATTCATCTTTCAACCACTTAGTGCTATGTATATGCAATGTTTACTTGCTTTATTCCCAGCATTGATTTCAAATATTCTTTAAACGACATAGTTTTTTTCTTTCATTGTCACTTACCCTTGTACTGTTGAACTGGTGCCCCAATGGAACGTATCAGCACCTACCTGTCAGAGTAAAATAAATGTTCTTAAAAAACAGATTTTGCCGATATATCATCCAACCTCTTTTTTTTTTTTTTTTTTTTGTATAAGAACTTTCCTTTTTAAGAGTAATATTATTGAGATTTAATTTATTGACCCAATTTATTATAATTATTAAATTTATTGTGGATCCCATTAAATATTTAAATTTGATGTTAATCCAATGGTTACAATAAAACTACATCATTAGATTAATAAATTATGTCAAATTTTAGATGTCAATAACGTTACTCTTCTTTTAAACTGTGGATTATGGCTTTGTATGTAATTTGTAAGTCTCAAAGACTGTCCAAACTATGGTAAATCTTTGTGGATTAAGGTTATTTCATGTTAGTTTAACAGTTCTCTGATGGAAGAAGAAGATTGCTGAATACTTCAAATTAAGCACATTGCTTAGTCCTGCGCCCTCCTTTAGAGACGATATTTGCCCAGAGGCGGCCCTCCTTCAAATTTCTAACTCAAAATTTTCAAATAAAAATTGTGTTAATCAAAGTCAAATACGGAAATCAAATACAATAATACATACTATTTGTTTAAGGTAAAAGAGAAATATAATTGAAAATTAGGTTGACTAGTAAAATAATTTTTTTATAAATGTATATAGAAGTATAGGAATTTATATAAGTTGATATTGTTAGATATCATAGAGAAAAAGAGTAATTTTTAAATAAAAAATTTTAGTAAGACAACAATGGTTAATTAATTTAAGATGACTAGTGTATTACTTCTACTCACTCTATTTTATAATCATATTGTATATCGTAAACAAAGTTATTAATAAATGACTTCAAATTTAAATTACACAAATATAAAATTATTATTCATACTTATTATACGATAGATAATTGATTTTAATAATAAAATTGCAAAGTGATAATACATATAATATAAAAATCGGCTGAGATAAAAAAAAAAAAAAAAACTGAACTGAACTTTAGGGCCCTAAATTTTTTTAAAAGAGGTTCTAAAAATTTTACAATAATGTTAGTTGCACTTAATTTGATAACTAAGTACATTAGAAAAATAGTGAATTCATTTAAACTTAGCACTCACTATTAATTCAATAATTAAAATATATTAAGTATTTAAATTATATTCTAAAATAATAATTATTTATTTTATTTTGGGATCCCAAATTTTCTTTTAATTTGAGGGTCCTAGGCAATGACCTTAGTGACCTAAACGTTGGGCCGGTACTGTATTTGCCCCAACCTATGCTAACATGAAAGGGTACACCATATCGAATGCTTTGCTTTTGCATGCATGCCAGTGCATGCATACCCTTTACTCTTTTGCACGTAAGCATCTTAGTGATGAAAATTGATTTTTTTTTTTTTCTGTTATCACTTATCGGACAATTGATATCATATACACATATGATTGGATGATAGATATCATGTCCTTACATACTATATGTATGTTATTTTGAAAATGCTCCGAAAGGTACTTCTTTCGCCTTTGCCTTGTATGTTTAATTTTATTTAATTTGTTTAACTGCGACATTGCAGCTAGCTTATCAATGTTTTCACATGCTTTTTGGATCATTATCTAGTGCAGTAAAATGTGCTAGGGCTAAAAATTGAAAAGGGTATAGATTCAAATTTGAAAACATTTACTTTTATAATTGTTAAATCGCTCATTATATCTGTATCGTTTCGCCCCTCGTAGCACTCTTAATTAACAAGAGTGATGGTAAATTAATGCACCCTAAATATGTATTTTAGTATCATATCTAAAAACTTAAAGTTTTTAGAGAGACAATAACTTACGCATACATTTTGTACCTCCACACGCCTTCTCACGTGGAAGTTAAATTTTAGCCAAGCATACGCAAATTATTATTTTTTAATTATCAAAGTGGTGATTAAATTCAGTGGCATGACGTTATCATATTAAACTAATATCTCATCTAAAAGCTTAAGGTTTTTAGAGACAGTAGAACCTAAGCATTTATCTACTTCAACGATATGACACTAATGTTTTGAAGTAGATCAGAACCAAAATCAAGGAAAATGTTATTTGAATCTAATTTGTGGACCTAACATACTATAGTTGTTTGATTGAAATTGACCTCCATCTAATATTGAAACTCACAATTAATTCAATTATTGTATTGAATTATGTCCCAATTAAATCTCTATAGGATTGTTCCAAAATGATAAATGCCTTAAGGTACTTCCAGTGGTTCAGAATCAGTATCAGTAAAATTATTTGAATGCACAAGAGATTTAATTCTACAGTGTGACTGCTCTTCATTAATACCAACCACCATCTCAGGCTTGGGCCCCTATATTTACTATCCCCTGCAATATTTATACATTGCTTTGCCATCTTATCTCCATACTCATCTCTTTTTCTGTCAAGTGTTTGCTTCAATGGCTCTCTTTAAGGTGATAATTGCAATCTTCTTCACTTTGGCTCTCGCCAACTTTCAGCTTTCTTCATGCCATGTGCTAAAGGGTTCAGTCACTTGCCTAGACTGTGATGGTCACTTTGATCTCTCAGGTTCGTCCCATCTCTTATTATTTTATTTTTTCGGAAATTAGAAGTTTCATCGACAGGAATAAAACTTACTATTTATGAGAACGAAGAGTCTCAAAGTTGAGTAACGAAACAAAGCTTAGTCAATGCATATAGCACACAAAGGGTTTTGGAATCAATTTCCAAAGTACCCTTTTTGTTCCATAACTTTATTTCTCAAATTATCTTTGTTTCTGTAAAAGTGTGAATGTAATCTACACTTTTTTTGCATTTTTCAATGTGTGTTTGCACGGTTTCAAAAGCTTTGAAAGATTAAACGCACACTTTCATGTAAACTATGGTAGATCAGTAAATAAGTTAAAAATCATTGTACAGATAGATATAAGTATAAAAAGAATGATAATTTTGGAGAAAACTCGAAGGTTTTCATTCACTTCTTCAATTTTATCCTCCACAGGCATTAAGGTTCAAGTGAAGTGCGGCCAAAGGACCAGGCTTGCCATGGCAACAACAGAAGCAGATGGCTCATTCCAGACCGACCTTCCGGTTGAGTCTCCGACATCACCGGCTTCATTCGACTGCCTTGCCAGGATACTAGGTGGTCCAAACCAGCTCTACACTTCTAGGAAAGACATGGTGACCACCATTGTTAAATCCCAAGAATCTGATCAGTCTTGCACTATCTCCAAACCTCTTAGCTTCTATGCATCATGCCCTAAGGATGGAAAATGTGCAGCCAAAGGATCTGAGTTTGGGTCATCCAAGACCATTGATCTGCCTCTACCAAAAGAGTGGGGAATGGCACCATCTAGCTATTATATTCCTTTCTTACCCATCATAGGCATACCCTAAGTTGTTGTACTAAAATGTACTGTTTAATTAGTGTATTGTTGTGAGAAATCCTTATTTGGTTTTGTGTGTGTAGAATATCAATTAAACTGAAGCACTACTTCCCTCCATATATATATACCTTGATTATGGTAGAGATGTCATGTGAGGTATATATGAGCTATATGTATAGAAGAAACAAAGATTAATAGGTCTTTGTTCACCTATGATCTAATATGAAAAATGTTATGTAGTTTGTGTTCCTCGGTCTCTCTCTCTCTCTCTCTCTCTCTCTCTCTCTCTCTCTCTCTCTCACACACACACACACACATTATGGGCCCATAACGTACTGGTTTGATTTTTGATCAAGTATGTGAAAGTATTATAATTATCAGGACGACTATAAAATTCAAACGCGAGACTTATAATTGATACATGTGAAATTATTAACTCAATGACTTGATTATTTTTACAAGTAGCTGCTGGAATCCTGTGTGTAGAAAATACGGGGAACCAATAGGAGAAAATGAGAGTGCAAAGAGAAGATAATTTTATAAAAAAAATAAATTAAAGAATTACGCTACTATAAAAGGACATGGCAAAGTGACGTTTCCCCACAAATTTTTTTTAAAAAATTGATTATTATGCTTTGCCTCCCTAAATTATGGCATTTATCTCACTTTGGCCCTCAACTTTTGAATTTGTCATATTGCTCCCACTACTATTTGAATTTTTTTCACACTATACAAGACTCAAACGTTTATTGTTTTTTAGATAAAAAATATCAACGTCTGAGGATAAAGTGAAACAAAATTACATAATTTGGTTGGCAAAGTGAAATAATTTTCCTTAAAATTTCGAAAGGGCGTTAATCATTAAGACAATGTAAAACTAATAATTATAGTTGAAAGTGCAAGAAGAGAAACCAGATAGTTGAGTTTAGAGGGTACAATAACCAAAACTTGATAGTTTTTTATTTTATTTTTGGTCAGACACATGAGGGCAGGGGCGGAGCTACGTTATGAACATTTGATCAACTTTTGATCAACTCTACATATGATGGCATATTAAGAGACTTAACTTTATTTAAAGTTAATACATTTGCCCCCTAATTTTTTGAGAATTAATAGTGATCCAAGTCTTTTTTTTAGTTTAAACAACTTAGTATCTCACTACCTCATCGCCCGCTTGAAACAAATATTTTATTTTTGAATCAAGGAAAATAAATGTGAAAAGTTATCCCTTATCCTTTTTCTTTAAGTAAGTAGCTTAAAATAATCACTTATGCCCTATTTTTGAGAGTTAAAAGTTATTTATAGATCATATTTTAAACAAAATTTTATTTTGTTGTTTCATATAATAATTTATTCTTGATTCTAAAACACTTTGCCATGCTTGAACTTGAAATTTTTTGTATCAATTAGTAAATTTTTTTTAGTCATTTTTTTGTCCCCTCTAAGGGAGGATCTTGGCTCTCCCTGTTTGAGCGGAGAAAATGTAATTAAAGACCCCTCCCAAAAAAAAATCAACATCACCCATTCGAATAGATGGTAGTACAAATACAATGTTGGAGCATGACGAAGAAAAGGAGAATCAATGACCAACCAAGACCAAGTCTTTGAGAGAGAGAGAGAGAGAGAGAGAGAGAATCTGTTAGTAAGATTTGATGTCATTTCCCTTATCTCATTTGTCTTTTTTGTTTTCTACGGAAAATTAAAGTACGCTCAATTTAAAATAAATTTTCCTTTCCATTTACTGCGTCCTGTCCGCGTTAGCACCACCATACCTTTGTCATTGTCTGTCCCTCCACTGCTCGCCTCTTTCTTCCGTTGTCGTTTGATCCTTGGTGTTTGCCAGTGAGTGACTTTCGGGTTCTTTTATTGTCTCCCCTGGACCATAATCCCTTTTTTTGATGATGATATTTGAGGTTCGTATCGTCTCTATGCCCTATTTTTTTTTAATTTCGTATCAAAAATATTTATAATCTGAGCTGTTTAATTCTGAGGTGGCCCCACCAGAGTTAGCTAGACGAGGTGAGGAGATGATTGAATTGTGTAATTTTTTAATCACGTTTATTTTTAAAAATGGTAATTGGGAGATTTTGACCAAAAAAAAAACTAATAATAAGGATATTGGTGAAATATCTCAACAAATTCTCTCACGTAGATTCCTCTCCCTCTCTCTCTCTCTCTCTCACACACACACACACATAAATCTCAATAAAAGATCTCAAATCTACTTCCAATTTCAATAAATATACATATACATATACATATATTTATATATATAAATAAAAACATATAGACAAAGACAATTAATTGGTGATAAAATAATGGTTATATTATGTCACTATGGTTGTCACTGTATCACTCTATAGTTGTGTTTATGGACGGGGCCAAGAATTTTTTATAGGATAGACATTTTAATTACATACTCTAATATTTTTTCCTCCTAATCAATTACATTATATAATAAATTTATATTTATTATATCATATTTGATACATGAAGTCCATTTAACATAAAAAAAATATCAAAAAATAATGTATATTGTATATGTATAAAAAAATATCACAATTGAAAAAAAATGACCAATTATCATTGAAATATTAGCATAATAAAACTACTAAACTAAAATACATAGTAAAAAAATTTGAAAATCGATTGACACATAGTAAATACTGTAATTAATACTCGAATAAAAATAAAGATGATTTATTATAAATAAAAAAAAAAAAGTTAAACGAATATCAATTACAAGAACTTTCACTTGTAAAAATTTATAAATAGTAAAATTCAGGTAATCCGGAGAAAGTCTTAATACAAAAAAAAATTAAATAATTAAAATAAGAAAATTATAGGGTGGGTATAAGTAAAATATATATATATATATATAGTTTTTAAAATATGTAAATATAAATATACAAATAATATTTAAAAAAATTAAGGGTGGGGATGTAGCCCCGACAATGGTTCTGTCATTGTCATTGTGGTTGTATTACTATATAAAGTTGAGACGAAATAAAAAGAAAAAAAATAGAAATTTATGGAAGAGAGAGAGGGACGGTAGAGAAATGATGAGAGAGAAAAAAAGATATAATAATTGACAAAAAAGAGAGATCGACGAAACTCATAAATGTTCTAATTAAGATAAAAGGTATTCTTGTGATTAAAAGTCTTAAAAATTACAACTTAGAGCAACCCACCTCATTTATTTTACATGCATGTACTTAAAGTCTTAAAGAATACATGAAAAAAAAATGGTTAGATTACTAGATATAGATATAGATATAAAAAGTCCTAAATAATAATGCGTCACTTTTCTAAGCATAGTACTCCAAGTAAATGAATATTAGTAGATATTAATGCATTAGCCTATAACCCTTTATTGTTCGATATATCACCTTTACTATTATATTTAATAGTCATTATGAATGGAGGTCTACAAAACAATGTCTTGAGTACATTAAAAAATACAAGTTGAAAAGTTCTAGTATTCTATATTTTCTTGCTCTTTATAGTCTCTATATTACTTTATTTTATAACATCCGAATACATATACTTTCTCAAACTTTATCCCATGTTTGGATGTATGTTAAAGTATTTGCAGTAGGTCCCAACAAAAAACATAATTGCAGTTTTTAATAAAACATTAATGGACCATAATAACCCATTTATGGGTACTATATTTATATCTAAGTGTGTGTTGAGGAGTAATAGTGTTCATTTAATTACTATATTCTATTGGGAGCCTATATAGCAATACCACCTATTAGGTGGTATGAGATAAGCTCTTCTACATGAATTTCAGGCACTGTAGCATGCGGGTCAAGTGTGGATTGGGATTTTAATCCCATTAATAATCCCTCGTGTAAAAAACATAATAAACAAGTATAAGCAAGGCTAGGTCCTATTTATCTCTATCACTCACCTTAATACCACCCTAATACCAAAAGGAAGCATGCTTGCAGTCCACTTAGTCAACTTTAAGCTCAAGGGAAGTTTCTTTCTTCATTAGAAATACAAAGAACTGGATTAGTCTATGGTATCTGCGAAAGAAATTTTATACGGGTCTCATTTTTTTGTTGGATTAATCTGTAATCAATAATTGTGAAAATAATAAAATAATTTTATACGGGTCTCATTTTTATTAGACAAAAAAGTGAATAAATGATATCAAAAAGTACTTTTGGATACTAGAGTACTTATAAATCTATAATATAAAACAAGACATATTTTAATAAGTCATTCGACGATCTCGAACAAACTCATCCAACGATTATAAACATTTCTCTCAAAATTATTCATATCGTTCCGTACCTTCAAATATGAATTACCCATAATACCTAATAAAGCGTGCAGATTTTTATGCACTTGGAAAGTGAAGCATTGGGATCTTTGCTAAGGATTCTCTATCCGCGTGAAAAGTCTTAATCCTATTTGGTGTCATTATCCCCGTCAACTTTGGGAGGTTTCATGGGGTTAGATTGGTGACTTCAAGGTATTTATTGACTCCCCTTGACCCTTACACTTTGGGTCAGTCTAGAAAATTTTCATTCTAATGCCAGAAAACGGGTCGCATTGAGTCATTTTTGAAAAAGATCCATTTGTATTCTTCTTAAATATTAAATTGGCGGAGTCGGCAATTGATTAGAGGGCACAAGTCCCCTCTGAAATTTTTAAAACTTTTTTATGTATGTTTCAAATAGTTTTTGAATTGGATACTATCGTAACTCATTTGAATTGATTTGTCATTTTATTGTCAACTAGTCATGTCATTTTTTTGAGTTCCTGTTAAGAATAAGTCAATCATAATCTATTAATTTTATATCGATTTCAAATTGTGTTATTCTATTCAAAATTAACATTCTTAATTCGAGCTACTATCAATTGAATTTTCTCTCTTTTGCTCCAAGTAAAAAAGGTACTATCAGTTGAATCTTCTATCTTTTGCTCCGAGTAAAAAAGGTCAAAAGGCTTTTGCCCCGTTTGATAGGGTGGATGGAAAATAAGAAGGATACATTTTTCTTTTTTTGTGTTTGGTTGGATGGATGAAAAATAAAAATGATAATCTTTTTTTTTTTTGTGCTGACTAAAATTAAGGGTGACAATAGAGTCGTGTCGTGTCGTGTCAGATTCGTGTTAAGTCATTACGAGTTTGTGTCGAATATTAATCAAACATAACTTAACTCATTTAATTAATTGTATCGTGTCGAGTTGCGAGTTGACCTATTTATTTTCGTATTGAGTTTGAGTCGTGTCATCGTGTTGAGTTGAAAATTTTCACACTTAGTTAAGGTAAAAAAAATATTTTTTTTATTTAAAATTTTTAATATTTTAATATTTTATTTCTTTTAAAATTAATTTTTAAAATATATATACATATTTTACCATTGTATTTTTATATGAAATTAATGTATACATAAGATATATAGACAAATAAGATACATTTTAACACAAATAATTAACTTTTCATCCACTTTCCTTCCGATTTTAGAGAGATTGATTTTGATGAGTTAGAAGGAAAGTTAATTCATCCACTTTTCCATCCTTCTTACTTTCCTTTCTTACCAAACATGATGTTTTATTTATCACTCGAACTTTTCATCCTTCCAATTTTTCATTCTCCTATTTTTTCAGCGTACCAAACAGAACATTAGTGACACCCCCAAACTCTCAACCCTTGTGCTAGTTTTTCACCCCTCTTATTATTTTATTCTTATCTATTGGACTACCGACATTGGTAATAATCCTTTATTACTAATGGTCCAAAAGACGACAAGATAACCAACCACCACCCCCCAAAAAAAAAAAAAAAAAACCACCCCCGCACCCCCTCTGGTAAGAATTGAGAGAATTAAGGATGACTAATTCAGTTGATTCTAATTTACCCTTTTCTCACCTTTATAAAGATGAATTACCTAAATTGCTCTTTCCCTGGATGGAGTACTTGAACACTCGGGCACCTCTCTAGATCCTTTATGGCCTGTTTGTTTCAAGGGTTTGGGCGAGTCAACAGAGGGCTTAAAAAAATGTACAATTTATTGTCATAGGTTATATTTGGATGCCTTTCTCATACTCGAAATTTAAAGACTCAGACTCAGACTCAATCAAACTCATGTATAAAGGTTTCATCAAAACCAGTCCAATCCTTCACCCAAATTCCATCCAAACATGCTATTAGACTGCCCGGACGACTCTAGGGATTATATGAAACCAACCTGCATAAATGAAATTATTCGTTAGGAATTATAATTTCAACTTGATTCAACGTTTCCAAATATTACAATTCTAAACATATCCTATATTTAAGCACTATTGTGCTACATTGAAATTCCACGTGGACTTGAATAAAAAATTAACTTAAAAATTTGATTTGATGATCACTACTATTAAATAGATAATGGGCTCAAATAAATACTGAAACCTACAATTAAATCAATAACAAATATAATAGTCGCATTATTAAGTCAGTTTTTTGAGTCTGTGTAACATTAGTATTTCAATTAAAAAGATGTTTGAACAAACAAAAAAAAAAGTAAAAAGAGGTTTGAACCGAAAAAAGAAAAGTAAAAAGAAGTGGTTTTACAAAAAAAAAAAAAAAAAAGTAAAAAGAGGTGTGAGCTCCATCAACATCAAGACCTGGTCTTGTGATTGGATACTGAGTGCTTCCAAAAACATTTTTTTTTTTGTTTTGTTTTTGGGTTAATGATGTTTTGACATTTTCTCTCTCTCCTTGACACTTTCTTACCTTAGATAAATGTAAGTGGACATGTATGGTCTTTGTCTTCGACATGCACTTTGGGGGTCTTCTTGAAGTCTTGATGCCGGAGGAGTTCATTAGAAGAGACCAAGACTTTAGGAATTTGATTGATTTGCCCATACTCCAGAGGCTTGGTCACATTATCAAATTACTAATGTATGCAAGTGGTATAGGACAACAACATTGAAAATTATTTTTTAGTACCGTGGAAAAAGTCACAATTGAATCTTATTAGAGTATCCAACAAGTTTGATGGGTTAAGCCCAAGTAGTCCAATTATTTATTAAAAGCCCAACCCCGGTTGAGGAGCCCAACCTCATCCTGAACCCACCAAGTCCAAGACAGACCAAGGCCGGCTAGACCAAGAGGAGAGCACGGGAAGTTTATCTACACCGCCTTAGGGAGCCCAAGGCCGGTTGGACTTCTTGCTTAGCACGTCACCAAGAGGAGAGCACGGTTGGACTTCTTGCTTAGCACGTCACCAAGA